ACGTTCAACATTACGTTTATCCAATAGCAATCTTCACTCTATGATATGCCAACTCAAACGGTTGTCACAGTGTGATCTATAAAACAAAAATTTTGCCCACGATATCTGACTGTGATTATTGATTGATGATTCACTATTTAAATATCGGTATGGTAACTGGTGAATCTCCCCACCACCCATCACAGGTGCTACGGTGAGAAAATCTTTGTGTCAGAGAGCACAAGGTGTATGTGACAAAATACATCTGGCTGCCGAGCTCCAGCACATCAAGCAAGTATTGCAAGACAACAAGGTTCGGGTCCCGCGCATACGTCACAGCAGGTAGGATGTAATCTATGCGTCACAGTGACCGAGTGAAGCCGGCCACTGTCGAGAGTGTACCTGCTGCAATACCATATGTTAGAGGAGTCTCAGACAAGATTAGCTACATCTTGAAGCAAGCTTCCATTAAAACATACTTCAAGCCGCCAAAATTAGTCAGTTTTTACCATCCGTCAAGAATAATATCCCACTACAAGACGCAGGAGTGTATAAGCTTGATTGTGAATGTGGTCTCTCTCATATAGGACAAACAAAAATATCTAAAAAATCATATATATTAGATTATGTGTTAGAACTAGCTCGCCATGCAGACGTCTTTCTGCCCTTACCAACAACCCTTCCCATAAAAATCTGAGGGTCATTTATCGGGATAAAAACTATCCTATCTCTCAAGTTGGACCAAAATGCATATAGTGTGCAAAATTTCATTGAAATCAGTTCAGTAGTTTAGGAGTCCATCGCGGAGAAACAACGTGACACGTAATTTTTATATATAAAGATTGATAGACGACAAATACTCGCAAAAGAACACCAGTTCCTACCATTCGTTCCTATCAAATTAAAAGATATCCATACCAATCCAAACCCAAGCATACCACTGCAAGACTTCAAGATACTGTAAGCTGATTCTGCCTATATGGGACCAAAAATTAATATTCAACAGCTGAAGGTAGTCCAGACTAACTGTGATATCGGGACATCAAATACTTCATTCCTCCCCCTCCCCCGGGACCATGGGTGCTGTAAAGCACCCGAAAGGGAATTAGAAACAAGTAAAATAAATTAAATTAAACGGGATAAATTCCGTAAAACTTGTTTCATTTTACTACGAGTGACTCGCCTGGCTTTGCCTAGGTTGTTTATTATTAATAACACGTTATTTAGATTTAAGATAATTTTCAAAGACCACTTATTTTAACAATTTTTCGATTTCCTAAAAAACTTAGTTTTTGGGTAAAATATAGCTTTAATCACTCCATGTACATATTCTATCTGTTCGTCAAATTTCACTACTATCGGTTCAGTCATTCCGAAGGTTAGCCCGGACAGACAGACTGAGAGACAAACATTTTAAAAATGGTTATTTATGATTCAATGGCATACAAATATTGTATTCTATATATATAAAATTGAAGTGTCTGTCTGTAATATTGATATAACTGCCTTATTTTGAACTGAAGGATTATTTGTATGCCATTGACACTTCAATATATTACATATATATATATATATATATATATATATATATATATTTATATATATATATATTTATATATAAAAATTACGAGTTACGATGTTTGTCCGATGGACTCCTAAACTACTGAACTGATAGGATAGTTTTAATAATTTTTTATTGCGAATTTAAGGATTTTTATAAGAAGGGTCGTTGAAAAGGCAGAACAACGTCTGCTGTATATATATATATATATAATATATTTCAGACGAGGATGAAATATATATGTATATATATTTCATCCTCGTCTGATAGCTGATGCTATTGCGTCACGTCAGACGTCACAAACCAAGATTCGCATCTCTTCTCTATAATACAGATAAGATTCTAAGAGCAAATATTGAGTTTGTTAGATAAGCGACTCGGATCGTTACACTTTACACTTTCCTGTGATAAGTTTGAGCAAAAGTACGTACAATTACGATAAAACTGATAGATAGAGCGCCATTTGATTTCCTTATCATTTTAGTAGGTCACTATTATAATGATATTTGTGGCAGGCTGGCAGGTGAAACGGCTATTATATAGACGAAGCTTGCCCTAATAGTTACTTTAACTGACGGTTGGAGTAAGCTCAAACGTGTCAATTCTACTAAAGTTCAACGACCAACTCCAAAAGTAGTGAACGTCCTTCAATGGGTGTTTGTTGCAGTGGTCCCACTTAAAGTTTACGGTTATTGGTTACATTGAGTCTGGACTTGATTCACGTATGCTTTCAGCCCGGCTCACACAACGGCCACGCCTGCTATTGCTATTTTTAAATTGTGAATATTACTTCGCATTGCATAACGGTGGTTAACGTCAATACTTTTACAATAATTTTCACTTTTAAAATTAGTGCTATAGGAATCGATATAGTAACTTCTAATTTTATATATAAAACTAGCTGTTCCCCGCGACTTCGTCCGCGTGTTATTTGGGGATTTTTTTTGCTCGGAACCCTAATTCTTTTTCCAAAATAAAAGTAGCCTAAGTTACTCCTTTTGACATCAGCTATCAGCCAGTGAAAATCCCATCAAAATCGGTCCAGCCGTTTCGGATATTAGCCGGAACAAACAGACAGACAGACGGACAGACAGACAGACAGACAAAATCTTTAACAATTGTATTTTTGTTATTCGTACCGTATATACTTTCATATGCATTTAGTAGAAAGCTGTAATTTTGACATTACAAACAGACACTTCAATTTTATTTATTTGTATAGATGTATAGATTGAAGTGTCTGTCTGTTATATCGAATTGCATGACATTAAAACATCGAAAATTCTTGTCTGTCTATCGTCAGAGCAAATGTACGGAACATATATTTTCTAATATCTAATCTAAAACTTTGAAGGATGTCATCCGAAGGGCTCTTGTCTCTATAAATGTTTCCTCGGTTTAAGAGCCTTGTGGAATATTTAGAGACAATGGCAAGAGACCCTACATTGGTCCCTTGGGAAAGAAGTAGAGCCCTAGTGTGGGATGCTACTTGCGTAGACACTGGCGGCCTCTCATCTCAGGGGTACCTCGTTTAGAGCCGGGGCGGCATCACAGGCAGCTGAACTGAGTAAGTGGCGCAAAAATGAGTCTCTGAGAGATGACTACATATTTATGCCATTTGCTGTAGAGACTATCGGTCTGTGGGGTCCACGTGCGGTGAAGTTCCTAAAGGAACTCCATCCGTGCCTGGTCGTTGCTGCTGGTGTTAAGAGGGCTGGTTCTTTTCTCGCTCAAAGGCTAAGTATAGCTATTCAGCGGGGAAACGCAGCCACGTTCTTGGCACGATACCGCGGGGAGTAGGACTGTTTGAATTAAATAAAAAGTTTTTTTTTTATTACAGTTTTTAATATTACATATAATTTAAAAAATATAGGATAAGGGTGACAAACGAGCACACAGTCCACCTGATGGTAAGTGGTTGCTGTGGCCCTATCTTCGATTACGAATCAAAATTCAGATGCGTTGTCACCCGTGAGGACTAAGATGGAATGCCTCGTTTCCAGTAAAAAGAGTCTCCGGTTCTCTACACTCACCATACGAAATACATTTTACGCTGGTATTATGTGAGAGCGTGGTTCTTCCCCGGTCGAGCCGACCCATCCGTGTTACAACCGTAACATAGCTGCAGCACGGCTCTACCACGTAAAAAAATTGTAAAATATTATATATTATCTAAGGATAGTTCTTTATGATTCTAAATGATGTGATTTTACAAATACCTATATACGAAACTAGGGCGGGTAGCTAGTTTTAAATAATTTAAATAAATCATTATGTAATTAATATATCTGCAGTGATGCCGTGACAATTGACAGAAAAGATTACGAAGCTAAATTCGAAATGAGGTGACCTTGAAAGTATAAGGAGAAATAATTACAAAATATAACGAAGAACACATGAGAGGTTCATTGGGTGGAGTGAAGATCTTATAAGCACGCATGTACAGATGCCTCAGGTTAAGCCAGAATCAATTACCGGTATCGGTAATTATTAGAAACCGAATTGTAGCAGTAGAGAAATTTTCTATGGCAAATAAGAAATCTTATGCTGGACTATAGAAAAAAAATTAAGCCAGTGATGTGAAGTAAATATTTTTAATTGTGTATGGTCACTGTCAGTCTTTTTGTCTTTTTAGCTGTCTACAAACTTTGATTTGGTAATTAAATTAACATTAAATAGAGAGAAAAAGGTAAAAGCTACCTATAGACATTGCATTAAATATAGAATATCATAGCTCTCGTATATTTTTTAATCATTTATTTAGTCCGTAATAGATACAGACATGCCATACCATCAAGAGTAAAACGAACTAAGGGTCGACCCTGTCATCCTAAATCCACAGGCACTCGACTAAAATTATCCTTCAAAGGCAATTCTGGAACGACACGCACGACTTGAATCCAATTATCCACGTCTCAAAACCCCTGACACTCCAAAACAACGCAGGCTGTTAGTTTTATAAATTTTTAACCCGACTGTCATTTCAAATTGTTCACGCTTGAAATAATAATTTTGCTTCTCAGAATGGAAGCAATTCTTATTAGGATCAATGTAGTGCACGATTACCGAATAAATATTTTAACGAGTTATTTTTGTTTATGCCGATTGATTTTTAATATGCGTCTTTACTTTAAACTTAATAAATGGGACATAAAAAAATTAAAAAAAAAAACTTAAAGAATGAAAGGGGATAAAACAGTCAGACACCCACTGTACGTGATAGATTCTTATACACAACCACTACAAATTCAAGGCTCTAGAGCCTTCTCTTTCGGGAGACCGTCAGAAGTGGACTTGTGAAAGTTTTTAAATGTTACCCTATCTGTAATATAAGTAATTGTCAAAATTTTAATGTAACTTCTTAGAAATACTAAAGAATAAATAATAGTAGAAATACTACATTTTGTATGATCTACTTTCGTTACATGGTTACAGTATAATTAATATAAAATACACTTACCCGTATGAATTGTGTTTCTTATGCTGTCCTGGACTTCATCTTCTAAGTCTTCGTTCAAGTAATTCACTCTGGGCATTCTGTTTGTTGTTATATGTTTCCCGCCACACCGAACCAACAACATTAGAAAAAGTAACAGTTTAAATATGGAATACCGCACATCCATTTTCCTAAGCACCCGATAATCAGTAGCACACATCTTACACTACCGAGTCCTTTGTTTATTTACGCTACGGTTTTGGCATGCTACTGATGTGCAAATTGAATTTCACTGAATCGTTCTACCCCGTTATGAAATTTTATGTTTGTAGTTAGATATCGATAGAGAGTATATTGTTCTTCCACGCCCTTGTTGCAATCTCATTGTAATGTACCTGTAAAGAAATGTAATTGTTATTAATAATTGAATGCGATATTATGTTGTTTTGATGGGGCGTTTCTTGTAAATATTTGATACACTGTAGGTAATCTTATATACTCGTATTATCATTTATTTTAATGTATATCATTAATCCATTTAGATTAATTTTATTTGTTTATAAATACCTTGAAATAAAATAATAAATGTAAATGAGAAATGGGCGACTGCTTAAGTAAGCGTCAATGATACGATCCCGTCATTTTACTATAGTTGCTAGTTATGGACTATCTATATGAAATAAAAGGATTTAAAAATACTTGAGACGTAATGAAAAAATAAGATTAATATTAATTAATTTTTGTCAGAAACTTAACGGTAACATAATATAAAATGAAGATATTAAGTAACAACATCTGTTTTTTTCCTGAGGAAATATTTATGAAGTAATTTTTAAATAACAAAATAATTGAAGAGCCTGTAATAACTACGCAGTTTTAAAAGGTCCTCAAATTTTGTACGTACCTCAAGTTGAACATTAATTGTATATTTTTGAGTTTTATTATGGAGTATTTATAAATTATTTCACCGAAATCTTAAAGAAATGTATAACGATTAAATTTTCTGACACTGTGTTAAAAAGTTTTTCCCAACGTTTCACCCGCCCGTGCAGTAAGCTAGCTATCTCTTTAGTGATATATCTGTTACATAATTTTAGTTTTACGCTGATAATTTTATCTCTCGCCAACCTGTGTACCATGTTATAAAAAAAAACTAATTCCGATTATTATACGACTACTTAAGGTTTTTCCATTAAATATTCAATTTATTAAGGCTTCATTAATAACACATGTTGCAGCGGAACGCAATTCTTCAATCTTTTTTTAACTCTCGCATATGTTTAACCTACATAAAATATAACTGAGTACCTACAAGACATTTAATACTTAGGCAATGACATTAATTTTACTAAAAAAAATCTCTGAAACAAGCCGCTGCTTCTATACAAGGCAAAACATACTATAATGGACTTGCACCAAAATTGGAATGATTGACAGACATATGGTTACGTAAACAATCGATCGCCATAAATTTTACCATTTTATCATTTTTACGTCCAAGGAATAATAAAAATACAAGATACACAATAATATTAAAAAGGACATAATTACCATTCAAATTGTCTCGTACATAGTAAATCAAGTTCGAAGCTTTGGTCGCCGTTCAGAAAGATGAGACGATGAAATATTTGAAATTTTTTTAATAACGACGTCATGAATGTGTTCTAGGAATAAAAAGTATTGAAAGGGCAAAAGGAGGAGCTCACGTGCAGGGCGATAAGACGGGCGCCAAGCAACATGTCTATGTTCTATCTTGTTTTTATTAGCTTCTATTAGAAACCGGATAAAGCTCGGCGCCAGGACAGTTTGTTTACTTTGTTGTTTCAGGATGAGAATATTTAAAGGTGCATAGGTACAAACAAAGTCATAACTTTATAACTCTTTGTTTAAACAAATGGTTTTTATGTATGGAGGCTATTAAAAGATAGTTCAATAAATTCAATCGAAATCTGAAATTATTTTCATATGAGTACATTCTGCAAATTAATATAGGATTTGATCTTTTATAATAACCTACTTTGAATTGTACGTCACCATTCAAACATACTATCTCTACTATTATAACATACTACGTCATTTCAAATTCAGCTTCATCACATAGAAACAAGTAGCATATATTATATCAAGTTATTAACATAATTATTATTAATATAAATACGATCTAATACAAATAAAATTAAGTATGTTCAGTTGTCGTATGTCACGGCCACTATTACCATTTTAACAATGCCCTATTAAACCGTTGATCACAACTGAACAAATGTCAATTTTTATCAATAAAGCATGTTTTTAAATTTTGATTAAATTGTGAATGAAGTCAACCATTATGTTACATTTTATTAAAAATATTTAAAAACTTATCAATTATTATGTTTTAAATTACGCGTTTATAGCATCATCAGGTCGTATTAAAAGTTAATCTTTACTACTCTCTGATTTCCCAGTATCACGTAGTATCTCTTTTATCAGTCCATAGATATCTCTGTGTGAACAGCGCCTAATCTTGATGCTGACCCTATTCGTGTCTAGACTAATAATGACGTATGACCTAGACTCAAACTCTTCCCACCAGTTTTAGGTAAACAATAGATAAGGGAGATTTAAAGCAGGTACGCTCTCATTGAGGCCATTATAATATGGAAAGGTCGTTTATGACGGACAATTAAAACAGACGGAAATTGATTTTACTGTCTACAAAATTTCCGTTATTTTTAAAAACATTACATTTTATAAATACGAAAAAAAACTGTAGATTGTTGAACTTTTTATAGGTCATGTTACTAATAATATACTAAATGTATAAGTATGTTATTTTATCTGACAATCATGCTTGAACGGCTAGATGAATTGTATTGAAATTTGGCATAGAAGTCGATTGTCGTGGAATACATTTTATAATGCTATGATGGTAGTACATCAAATATAACTACATAGTAGGTACAGTGAAGCGGCTGGGGTAGCGACAGCTAGTATTATGTTGCATGTATGCAGAATTACAAAAAGCAGCTAATTTATATTTATTACAGCTAATATATAAATATTTATATTTATGTATGACGATACCATAGCGCGTACAGTCAACACGACGCATTCGGAGTTGATCCACACTTATGGCATACGCAACTTTTTTTACTTAATTTTGTTTCTCAAGACATAAGAGCATGCATGCCGAAACAATGGCAGCGGCAAAAACATTCATACGTCCATAATGAGAAGACTACAATTTACGTCCTATTATGGACGTTTCCTGATGACATGGAATAAATTTGGGACGTTGCATAAAACATCGGAATCGTTTATTCATAGAACTCAAAATTTATTTCAATGTCGTCTCAATATGCAACAACCTACTATTTAAATATAAAATATTTTAAAGTTATTGTACTTTTGCAATTGAAATTAAATTACAATAATAACCAAAAATAATTTACTAATTTTTCTTTCCTTCGCCTTCCTGTGAATGTTATCTAAACTTTAAAAGCGTAATAGCTATCTGTAAGTGGCGTCTGGCCGGACCGTATGAAGTGGGAGGCATCCGTCACCGTCTCGCGCACCCAGGGCTTTGTCTGGAGCCATTGTACGGACCGGTAGCGCCGGTTGTGCCCGACTCAAATTATTGCCCTTTGTCCTCTGCATACTTCGTCTTTAGAATGTTTCAATGTAAAAATGAAACATTCTAAAGACTGTACGTATATAACTGTAATATCTATAGATTAAATGTACAGATTACAACAACAAATAATAACAATGTACAGATTATGTGATTTTTTTATAGGATAAGGGTGACAAACGAGCACATAGTCAAGTATCATCGAATAAAAAGCCAAATGCAAATGTCACTCCTGAAGACTAATATGAAATAACTTGTTACCAGTAAAAACGGTCTCTGGTTCTCTACACTCACGAAACACTAAAGCATTATTTTGCTGTTTCACGCTGGTATTCTATAAGATCATGGTCCTATCCCGGTCGAGCTGACCCATTCGTGCTGTACCTACGTATAGATAGCATAGCTGCAGCCTGTCTCGACCACGTAAAAAATGTATAGTATAAAAATAGATAATATAATAAAACTAAATCTAGAGTGAAAATTGTATATTCTGTATTTCTTCGTAAAACCTACTTAAAATAAAAGTTATTATACTAAACAGGTACTTCTAACACGTAATCTATTTCATTTAATTTCTTATTACTCATTTGTAGGTATACAGAGAGTATAGGTAACGAGGGCTAACATTTCTTCTTCTTTATTTCATTTCTATTTCTGTCCACTCCTGTCCACTGTTGGATATGAGCGTCTCTCATAGTAGGATTTTTTCCATAATCTACACGACGCTCGGCATGCGGCTTGTCGATCGCAATATTGTCACGTAGTTTCGAAGCTACTCTTAATCGTTGTTTAACCGTGTGATAGTGGCGTAAAAGAATCCATCATTTCATTTCTTCCCATGAGTGTCGTAAAAGGCGAATGTATTTTTTTAATAATTAAGGGCTAGCATGGGCAGGAGACAATTTTATCCCCGGAGAAAGGAGAAAATGTTTATCCCTTCGCTTAGTTTTATCCACCTTTCGAGCACGGGCACACCAGTGGATATAATATCCACAGTAGATAAAATGGGAGATAGACTTAGACTTAGATAGATCTTTGTATGAATATAAACTTAAACCAACGTACAATGAACTAGGATAAAATTGTCCCTTTCAAATGTCAAAAAGCATAATTTTTTTTATCTTTCATGAGGCTCCATACTACGGACGGGGGATATATGTCTTATGTCAAACTGGGATATACTTCTCCCCGTTGCCGTGCTTTGGCATAAGGACAAGATAATTTTATCTCTTGCCAGTGGATATATTCGGGGGATAAATTTTTTGTCCCCAGCACCATCCGTGCTGATGATAACTGGATGCTGATACTCATTGACATCTATATCTATCCTCGATTAAGAATCAGAATGCAGATGAGTTGTCACCTCTGAGGACCAAGATTGAATGCCGGGTTGCCAGTAAAAAGGGTCTCCGGTTCTCTACACTCACCATAAGAAACACAGCAGCATTAAGTTATTGTTTTTTGCTCTAGTATTCTGTGAGAGTATGGTGCTTACCCGTTCAGACCGTCCCGTTCATGTTACAACCATAATATAGTTGCAATACGGATATCTGCAGCATGGCTCTACCACTTAAAACTGTAATTGTATGGACTGTAGAAAATTCGAGATGGTATAACCGTATAATTGATGCCATAGCTAAAATACTCAGACCAGTTACGGGGAGCAGCGTCATAGGTGCCAGAAGTCGTGTACTGCGATCGTCAGTACACCTGCCAAACGTGGCAATTAAGATAAATACACCCTATAATGGAAGAGGTCTCTGAACTCTTATGGACTGTTGTTTG